TTAATTTATATTGATTAAAAGACACTAATTAATTTCAAGCAGCCAAAATAACATAACTCGAATAAAAAAGAATGAGTACACTAAATATATTTGAATAGATTCAATCGTCAGTTGGAAGGATATAATTGAATGTATAGTAGATTCATCGTTAGCTCCAAAGGATTAAATAAGTTATGTAATTTTTTGCAGTTGGTACATCAGTACGAAATCTGTCCGAACCGGTTTACATTATGCTGAAGGCGCCGTTGTATCACTATAGTGGAAAAAGGCTGAAACCAGTAGTATGGGATGAAACATTGAACAACGTAGGAGGATGGACCAGCAATGGATGCCATTTAATCAACCTATTAAATAATCTGATAGTTTTTCATTGTGACAGATTAGGATATTATGGACTTTTGCAGGAAATTTCGTATTTTGATATGGATGGAAATAGGTACGAGACCTTCTTACACTTGTATTATTTTTTAAGGTTTTCTTTTCGATTATGATTCTATCATTATTGTATGTAATTTTTGCAGTTTACGTGGAGCGAAATTCAAGTTCTCACATCCTGCGATATATATCGGAAGCTTCGTGACGATAACTTGCTTGATGATTATGTCCGTAACGTACATTATTTCTTACACATCTATCACGATGCCTAAGAAGGCGAAACATTCCATTATCAACACTTGGTTCGCCATGGCACTGTTGTCATTTCTATATAGCATCGGTATCCAGCAAACAGAGCATCTCGAGATTTGCCAGGGTGTTGGTCTTGCTTTACATTATTTGTCGTTGTGTTGTCTGCTGTGGATGGCAGTATCTGCTAGGTAAATATATCGTCTATGTTCTGCAGAAAAAATGGCTTTGCATTGTAAAATTCTATATAAGATGTAAAATTTTTTAATATAATTGATTTTGCTCTTATCTCATTAGATTTAAATGTATAAACTAATCGTATGAAAGAATCTTATAATAATTTTAAAGCTGCTTTTGTTGCTGAACGCAGCCATCATACACGCTTCTTTAAAGAAAATATTTATTGAGATCCTTTTGTTTCAGCAATATGCACAAAAAATTAACGAAACCAGGCCTCAATGTGATACCCGACGATGAGCTTCCGGATCAGCCTATACCTAAGCCCTTGTTAGGACTCTATTTGGTCGGATGGGGTGTAGCTTTGATAATTTGTGGAATATCTGGCGCAATCAATCTACGTGAATACGCCGGTTATTCTCATTGCTTCCTCACATCCGGACCAGCGCTCGCTGCGCTTTTTATACCATCTGGAATTTTAATCGCGTATCTGCTAATCTTCCTCTTGCTCATCAGACGTGCGATTCAGAACGTCGACATGAACACGCAATTGTCTGAGGGTACTCAGGCAACGGAGAATATGGATTTGGAGTTATTGGAGCCAAATGCAAATCCTTCCGGAGACAGGAATAGTATGCGTAGCACGCAGACTGTATCCTCCGATATTGAGGATTCGGAACACTCGCAATTTACGCAGTGGAAAGGCCAAGTCATAATGTTGGTGTTGTATTTGATATCCTGGAATAGTGCAGCTGCAGTAACGATCAAGCCGTTTGACTCCATGCCGTTCGAAGAGACCGTGTTCGCCGTGATATACGCAATCACTACGAGTTCTCTGGGTATTTTCGTGCTGTTCTTCTACGGAATTGCTCGTAATGACGTTCGAAGTCAGTGGCTAAAAATGCGATGCTGGCTGGAAAAGCGCAAGAACCGTTGTTGCCGCACTAGGAGCGTGTGTGACGCGAACTCTGCGATTCCGACGCAGCCTCTTGTGCAAAATTTTGTCCCGCCATTGTCCAACTCACAAGCCATCCAAGCAATATCCGACACAAACTCCGTTGCTTCGTCAAGGAACACCAATCATTCGCAACAGATCTACAACAGCTCAAAGCTCGCGGACTTGGCGGCCAATCGAGAAAACATACCTGCCGTTTCCGTGAACGCGAAAGCGGCGAATCTGATAATAATGCATCGTCATCAGTATCATTCTAACAATTCCGTCACCACTTATACCGAACCGTCGTCGGCCTGCGTCGAGATGTTCTATAATCCTCATCAGAGCGGCGTCGCTAGGAAGTTCTTCAAGAAACAACGTAGACACGCAACCGCGAAGAAGAATAATCTCGGCCCGAGGAAGCAGGGCGATGGCGGGGCTACCAGTGACGGCGGAAGTTGCATTTCCATACCTCGGCCTACCGTGAAGATCAACAACAGTCTAGAACGTAGCATCTTGAGCAGCAGCGCTAAAGTCAACAATACCAATATACACGTCGAGCTAAATCCCATAAACGATATAAAAAACGTCAATATATTATCGGATAGTGGCGGCAGCATCTCCGAGGAAAGAATTCCGATGCGCTTCGTTATTGGTCAGGAGAACTTGATGCACAGTATCAAGAAGATTAATAATAGCACGCAACAGGATAGCCCGCACGTCAACGTCATGATGTTCAATACAAGAGAAACGCCACCACCGAGGAGAATGGCACAAGACTCGGACGCGGACGTTTCGAAGACGGACGAAGAGTGGCATTTACGAAATGTCTCCCAACAATGTAGTTTGGAGTATAGCTCCGAGATGGATACCGTCACGCAAATGACTAGCGAACGGAGCGATCACAATCTGCCGGAGATCTGCGAGAACATGGAAATGGCACAGCAGGAACGTTTCTCGAGGAAAAGGTGTCCTAGCGTGAATGGAACCGAGATCGCCACTGATGAGGAACGCATATCAAGAAATGTGGGACGGTTGTATCTCTCGAACAGTATGTATTGTTTACCGTTGGAATATGAGAAACCGCTGATAAACAATTATTGTAATTCGTTGAACGACCTCACGTCGCTGATGAGCGCAAAGCACCGTGACTACTCGAAACCATCACTCATAGATATACAAAGTACAACCAGCTCGAATCTATGCGGGCAACAAGTTCCTGAGTCTCGAGAATCGTTCGATCGTTCGGAACGTTCGCTCTTTGAGATAAACAGTTTGACTAGTGATAATCCGTGTACGTTAACACCGCACGCGGAAACTCCTTACGCTTGTTCCCTATCGAATGTCTATTGTATCTCCGACAAAAGTATGGAGGAAAACAATTCTCGTGAGAATTCGCAGTTGCCAGACGTGGATCACAATGTATTTAATCCACCAGAATCGAAAGATCTTCTACTGGAGAAGAACTTTAGTTCTCTCGCTGATATTCCGTCAATTAGTAGGTCTAGTTCGCGTGACATTAATAATCTCAATTTAATCGATGAAATGAACGCATTTGCGAAACCTGCAGGTGATATACAACAATTTGAGGCTGATGAGATTTATTTAGATGAGTCGGTGAACCATTTGCCAGTTAAGAAAGAAACCAGTGTTTAATACATAATTACATACTGTACAATTTATATATAAACTATGAATAATTTATATATAAATTATATATATAATGTATGTATATATATGCATATATAATTATATATTATATAATTTATGTATAAATTATAATAATTTATCATAAAATTATATATACAATATATGTATTATTATTATATATATATATATATAGAACTTACATATATGTATAATAATAACAGATCACTGTTCATTCGTCTGCTACAGCGACGTATTTATTTTTTTGCATAATTTCATAGACTGCACAATGTTGAAACTAGCATTTTGTAATTTGTAAACAAGATTACTCTCTTTACTAGAATCGTGTTCAAGACTCTATACATTAAATACTCGTCTTCTTCCTACATATGCTGTGTTTAGAGATTTTGTATATAATGAAAATTATTCGCCTACTAATAATCACGCCTACAAATAGTCTTCAATCAGCTTGGTAGTTCGTTTTAATTATAGTATAAATATTATAAATGACTAAGCAAACATTGCAAAGCTTTGAAACGACTTCGATCATTTGAAGAAGTTAAATTCAACAGATTTAAATAATACTGTCTTCGACTAGGTATTTCTTCCGTGGCGTACATATAAAATAAAATATCTTATATAATATATGTATATAAAGATATTTTATTTTATCTATATGTAGTAAATTATATAACTATATAAGATACAATTTATTGATTTATATGTATATCGACAAAAGGAGAATAATACTTCAACACAACAAAATACAATCACAATCAGAAACCTCTAAAAATATTTTTCTGTTAGTTAAGACATATCGAGCCGATACGTCGATTCCAATGAAATTTTTTTTAAAATCGGCTATGGATATCGGTTTTCAAATGTCAAAAACTTAGTATTGACTTTCCAATATTAAATTTAGCTAACTCAATTTAGGAACATTATTTATTCATCATAGCCTGAATAAATACTCTTCTACATATATATATTCAATATATATACATGTATAGATATATATCACGTGAAGATATGATTGTAAAATCATTTTGGCTGTGAAATATTTCCCCTTAATTTCATCGAGGAATTTATTTGATAATTATCACATTTCAATTTTATAATATTGTAATATTATTGTTTATGTAATTTTATACGTGTTTATATAAATATCTTCACATTTATATGATTTCTAAGGTTAATATGATATTGTATCTTATTTTAACAAGACGATATTTACTTTGTAAGTATGACTGTTTATATAAATTGATATAAGAATGAAATTTTTGTAAATTAAAGACTGAATACTAAATTAAATTTATGAGATTCTGAATGATTACCACCGACTTTCGCATAAATATATTAATGTATTTTAATGGAAAACGTCATTTTTAGCAATGATGCCTGATTCTATACTGTTGTAATAATAATGGTATGGTACTATTACTATTGTAAATAATGTTCATTTAAGTTTTTAGAATTAATACAGTTCATGTTAAGTGCGTTAAAACAGCTTGAGAAATTTTATATACCACATTCTTTTATCTCATTATTTTTACTTTTATATTAATTTTTTCGAAAAATATAAATTTTAATGTATGTACGATTGTATACAAAACCGGTTACTAATTAATATATGTATATTGTACAAAAATTTGTGTCCATTTTTATTTACACCATAGTTCTACTTGGCACTTCAAAGATCACATTCTTTTTATCTCCTGTTAAACACATGATCAACAAAGCTTTTATAAATCTATACATGTTATAAATCTATACATCTATCGACTCTCAAAATGTTAATCTTAATATGTTTTTATCATTTCAGATTCCACTTATGTACTAAAATTATATTATAATATTATTACTTTTACATAATCTTTCCTAATCGTACGAAAGTCACTTCGAGAAATTAAAACCTACACTTGCACATTATCCGTATTTGTTTCGTTTAACCAATCTTTCGGGTTTTTTAGCACTTCCAGAAGTTGCGACTCCCTCGAATCGGCTTTAGGTTCGTGCATGTATTCCCATTTGGCATTCAATGGCAGAGACATAAGTATACTCTCATATCGCGCACCGGGTGTGTACAGACCAAACTTGGTGCCGCGATCATAGATCAAATTAAACTCAACGTACCTACCCCGTCGCAATAGTTGCCATTGTCTCTCGTGATATCCATAACCATCATTCTTGTGTTTCTTTACCAAAGGAATATATGACGGAATAACTGCCTCAGCACAAGAAGCGACGAACTGAAACGCCTCGTTCTGGTTTGGAGTATCCAGGTCGTCGAAAAATATCCCGCCCACGCCACGTCGTTCCCCTCGGTGCACAATGTTGAAGTAATTATCGCACCATTCCTTGAACTTCGGATAATAAGAAGGATCGTGTTTGTCACAGGCGGTTTTTAGCGTTTTATGAAAGTGTTTGGCATCTTTCTCATCCAAGTAATATGGGGTGAGATCTGTACCTCCTCCGAACCACCACTGAACTGTACCATCTGGATTCTCCACTTCAAAGTAACGATAGTTGAAGTGAATCGTAGGAATCATGGGATTGCGAGGATGAATCACAGCGCTGACACCAGCTGCGAAGAACGGCACCGAGTCTTCCATCTTCTTACCGCGTGCTCTCATTTGTTGGACAGCATTCGGCGGTAGCACGCCGGTTACGACGGAAACGTTAACACCGGCTTTCTCGAATACTTGTCCGTCTTGCAGGACGCAAGTAATACCACCACCACCTTCTTTTCTGGTCCAGCGATCCACTTTGAAGGAGTAGCCGTCCTCCAGTGATTTGAGCGCTCTGCAGAAGTCTGCTTGAGTCTTCATCACCAATAGTTCCATTTTTGTTTTCATATCGTTCGGATTTCTTTCCAATTGCTCGACAGCTGTGATAGGCTCTGCCATAAAAGTCTTAGTATAATGTAAATCATTTTGCGCTGCCTGAACTACGTCACTGTATATGCTGTATGTCGCTAGCCCCGTAAGGATTCCTGTCCCAAAATTTCGTAGGTTTTTCGAGTTTCTCGAAAGTTTACTCCATGTAAACCATGTAGACCATACAGCGTGATGGTATGCGTTAATAGAACGTAGGGCACTTTGTATCATATAACGTGTAGCCATGATTTCTTCCAAATTATTCTTTCTAGAACAAAATTTAAAGTCTTATTTTCTAGTCAGTGTCACAAACTCTTGCTGTATTATAATCAGGAAATGCTTTCTGATTAGATATAAAATCCATTAGATTAGATTAATAAATACTTTATATTTATATAACTATAAATAAAGTGTAAAGAGTATTTTATCTTTATGTATATGTACTTTACACGATTACTATATATAATATAATACTATTACCGTCCGTATCCGGCACCTATTTCATATTATAAACGCGATTGTTTTCACTATAAAATTATAAATACCAAAATAAATAATTAAAAAAATTAAAATACTAATATCTTCCAATAAATTGGAATTAGTCGATTTCCTTATACTTATGTTTTACGTTCTTACGGAGTTTTATGTGTGAAGGCCTTAATACTCACTCACGGCGAGATTAATGAATCAGCTGTTGATGGAATTGACGGAGTTCATGAAGTGACTGAACAGACTGCGACACTTGACATTTATTAAGTACATTGAGCTACACTCTTCTTTTTCTCCGACTTTTGGGATTTTAGTCTCTTCGAATGAGGCTCAGTTAACCCAGTACCATTGAGCTACACTCGGTCACTCGTGGTCACAGCATCAGAGAGAAATAAGAAAATTCTGAGGTGTTCTGAGTTTCTGAGGGACCGGCATCAAAATCTTTCTCCGAATCTTCTGTACACTACCGCCAATATATATTTCCGAATTGGGTACTAGGTAGTTATTTCCATTTCCGACACTGTCGATAAAATCATAGCAGAGAAAACGTTGTAGGATGTGCGAGTATAGATTATATCCACAAATTGTAAATAAAAATTAAATTTACACACACACACATATATATATATATAACACAAACGTAAAAGGGAGGGGGAGAAAGAAGGGGGTGGGGAAAACAGATCAATTATATCGTAAGATATAGTAAAAGAAAAATTGCGTAATAATTATATATATATATATATACAGATATAAAACTTCTTGAAATTAAAATTTAACAGGAATTTAGTATGGTAAGAAGTATTTTCCAGTTAGACATAATTGAAACAATGTAATGTAATGAATCATTACATCCTTATTGTTTAACATTAACCCTTAATACACACAGGCCTGTTTTTTTTATTTCTGCATTAGAACTCTCTCGTTTTCACTAAATATCAATATCTATCTCACTTTAAGTTCCAAAAGTATATACTAATTGAGTGACAGAAAATAAATTGTATCTAATAATATTCTGGTCCTCTATTTTACTACATAAGTCGTTCGTGTTCCAAGTAAATTTTCGTCACTATTACAAGTAGATAAAGATTGAGTAATTCTTATACTTTAATATTAAAAAAAATATTTATAAAATGTATTAAAAAAAGAAAAAGATATAGACTATTATCTAAATATTTTAATATTTTAGAGAAAAAAAATACATAGGATATGCATGACTTAATATGTGATTAAAAATTAAAAATAAGGATAAATATTATGCTATTATGTTATTTTTTTTTAGAAAACGTCCTGATTTTGAGAAAACTGGACACTATTAAAGTTTATACTTAGTTTAAAAAACATTAATCAATATTCATTGCAAGCAATAATCATTGCAATAACATTTGCATGATAGCGATGCTTTTGTAAACATTGTTTTGTAAACATATAATTATGAACTATTAAATTTTAGAAATTTTTATGCCAACAAAATTCTTCCTCCAAGTTTCCAATTTGAAAATATTGTAAAGGTGATAATTAGGAAGAGAAGTAGATCAATATTCGATTAAATAATGGTACTCAATTGAGTAAATAAAATATGCTATTCAATTCTGTACATTTCCTATCTTTTATATTTGTATATCGTATTGTTATATCGTATAGTAGCCTCATCGAAATACGTGTTGTATTGTCTCCATTTTTCTGTAGCCAAAATCTGTTTCGACATTCTGTCTGGTAACAAGCCTAAAAAATAAGCAAGATAAACATTATTTCTAGAAATATAATTCTTTAACTCTATACATAGTCTACATTACTCAGATGTTTTTTTAAAGTAATTATTATATTTGCATAAGATGTTCCTAACATCCCAACATTATATCTCAATTTTCATTTTTTTTAATAATTTATGATTAAATATAGATTGATAATATTCTAAATGTTTTAGATAAAGATAAATACAAAAATATTTATATTCTAAAATAATTTATGCCAAATATAATGTGTGTAAATATTTATATATTTAGAGATTATAAAATTGGGATGCTTGGATATATCATGAGTAATAAAGGATTAATAATAGATGTTCTTTTCAGTTGAACTCTTCATAGTTCATCTCTTCTTTTTTTCTCTATATGTTGAAAAAAAAAAGGCAAGAGAGAGAGAGAGAGAGAGAGAGAGATGTGAACAATGCACAAAATTAAGTTAAAGAGAACAAGCTTAAACCATTTTACAATGTATTTAGATTAATATATATGTATATATTAACAAACCTGCTCTTTTAGCCATAGTCACCAAAATGGAAATTTTATTCTGTTGCACCTTACACAAGCCAGTTACTCTACGTGGTAGTACGGTTCCATTTGATCGCAAAAATTGTTTTAGAATAAGAATATCCTGTAAAATATATAGGAAACTTCAGATTTAATGAATAATATAAATTATTCATATAATACACAGAATGGCACATGAAATGTCATACTACTTATATACTAAAGCCTGAAAATTTGATTAACAAAGCTTGAAAGCAAGATAATTCGATTATATAAGACTGCGAGTAAAAGCTGTAATTTGTAAGAGATAGTAGATAATGTAAGGCAAGAGTAACTAGGAAATAGAAAAAGTAGATAAACAAAAAGTAGATGAGAGAAAGAAAGGTATGGATGAATAAATGAGTTAAGGAAAAAATTGTAAACCAAGTCTCCTTCTTGGTTTGTAAAAATGCTGAAGTCAATAAAATTCTACTCTACAATTAAATTTACATGACATTTCATAGGTTATCATATAAAATATTTTGTCCACTTTTATCAATACAGTTTAATTTTAATTCACGTTCAACTAAAATGATAAAGAATAAATTATACCAAGATTAAAGTTAAGGTTAATCTATACTGATGGAAATAGGTTCATTTTTATCAATATAGAGAGATCGACTTTAATCTCGGTTCAATTCACTCTTTATCCTTTTCTAATTCTTAAAATTGTAAATAATGTAATACATCATAAAAAGTAAGTTAATTTAAAATAAAAATTAATCTATGTTAGTAGAAATGGGCAACAGAGTATCATAAAACTCACAGTATGTTTAACGTCAAGTCCTGTGGCGCAAAGAGGACACGCATTGGAGTTTAACTTTAATAACAGATGCTCCTTTTCCTGTGGCACTCTTACAGCTTCGATAGTTAAGACCTTATCATCTTTCTTCTCAATTACTACAAGAAGTTAAATGTAGATAAGCTTGAGATATTAAGACAAGGTTAAGTACAGGTTAGGTATAAGTTCGCAATAAAGATCACAATAAAATTATGTCCCCCGTTTTGTTAAGCGACGTTTAACAGCGAACTCACTTTTTCTTAAATGTGTAGTTGCAGACAGCGATATACTTCTATTACATGATTCTGAGAAAATCAAATTTTTCCCAAATTGCCTTACAGATCGAAACAGAACCGCCATTTTCGGTCCAGTGGTTCTCGATGTTTTGATATGTTGTTCGTGGTTGTTCGTAGCGATAGCTGTCGGTAACAAACTAAACTGATAAAGATTTGTATCTTCTGGAAAATATGTTTCCGGAAAATTGGCAGTACACATACATTTTGTACATACGGAGCTTTTCATATTTCTTGGAGACTTTTCTATAAATTAAATTTATATTTTTTATCGTTTTAAAACTTCATCTTTATTACCGCGACTGAATAAATTTTGAAAATTTTAAACAATTTATTTTAATATTATATATAATTTTTGTATTTTTATGTGATTTTGTATCACAATAATAAATATTTTATAATTTTAATGTTTCATTGAATTTTTTAAATATATTAAATTATAAGAGATTCATTTTCTTCGTGTCTGCGTTACATTATATTTTTTGCACTTAGAATGAGACAGTCAAGAAAAACTGAAAAGAATAGAAACGAAATGAAAAATACAACTATAAGAAAATAAATTTCGCATCATAAGTATACGCAGGTGTAATTTACCACACAAAGTTGCACCCATATGCGTTTTTTTTTCCTAATTAGAAAAAGGAAGTGTTGATGTTTTCGTTTCAAATATTAAAATTAGAGAGAGAAAAAGAAAGCAATTTCCTTTAAAAAAAAAAAAAAAAAACTTTCTAAACCTGACAATCATAGTATACGAATATCTAGAGATACGATACGTTCGATCACAAGAAACCAACTTCACGTGGGACTGACGCCGCGTGACGTCACCGTGCGCAGCTAGTCACACTTCACCTCATTCCCGTCGCGTTCCCCGCGTCCCCCAACATCCCGCCGTCATCTTCGTCGTCGTCATCGTCGTCGTTGTCGTTGTCGTCGCCGCGCGGCCGTAGCGCTCTCGCGGCAGTCGCGGTCGTCTGCGATGAGTTTAGTTTTGAAAACAAAGGGCCGCCCGCCGTACACCGTGGTGTGTCGTCGTCGTCACACGGCTTGCGCTTAAAGAAAAGCGGAAGCGCCTCCGCAAACGCGGCGCAAGACGGCGGACGAGGGATTAAAACGCCGTGCGTCGTGGGATTAATCGTGTTGGTCGTGTATACGATTTCAACAGTCCTTCCGTCCCTCTTTCGTTTCAGCTGTTTATTCGTACGTCCGTCCATCCATTCTCTCCTGATCCTACCTATAAAGATATTAAATATCTATAAAAATATTTCCCGATTGTTCTCCCTGTTTCTCTCTCTCTCTCCCGGCCGTCCCTGAAACTCGCCGTGACACTCTCCCTTCGTGTCATTGTTGGAAACGTGATCAACACAAAAAAATGGACGCACTTCGGGAGCAGGTGATGATCAATCAGTTTGTGTTGGCCGCGGGCTGTGCCAGGGAGCAGGCGAAGCAATTGCTGCAGGCAGCGCATTGGCAATTTGAGGTGAGGAAAATTAGAAGACGTGAACTATTCGGATGGAGAATAAACCGTGGGGGGGGGGAGGGGAAGGAAATGAGGCCTGAGAATATGTTCCTCCTCCCCCGCTCCGTGACGAGTGTGTACCGCACACGCACGTATTATGCACGTACGCGACGGTGTATCCTCGCCTTGGACACACTGCTACGTAAACAAAGCGACGAAAATGGCCGCCGTCGTCGCCGCTTTAACGCCGCGTGATCCCTGTGACGAGGAACGCGCCGATCCGCGAATCGACGTTCGTTCTTCGTCGGGACCGTCGACGAAGGCGCGAGACCACGCCGCTGTCTCGTCGGCTTCATTCATAAAAATCGCGCTAGGCTGCAAACGCGGCAACGCTCGCAATACGCGGACCGATGTCGGCTTGTAGAAACAACAAGAAATAAACGTAAACCCGCATGCCACGGATTTGGCTTTTATTCTTGCACTAAGTAGTGGCCGTTCCTATCACTGCAGATTAACTTTAACGTACTTTTCACCTTTTTTTTTCTTCTAAGAATTGAAAAAGGATGAAGAGTAAACCGTAATAAATCTACTTTAGTAGAAGTGCCAACTTCCACCAATGTAAAATTAACTTTGATCTTGGTTTGACTTGCTATTTATCTTTTCTAAGAATTATTCTAAGAAATAGTTGCTAGAATTAGTAGTATAATGCAAAAATTCGAAAGATTCGAATTTTTAGAACTAGTAGAAGATAAACAGTACGTTAAACTGAAATTAAAGCTTTTCTAATTCTAAAAATTACAATAATTCTTGGAAAAAGTAAACAGTAAATTAAAGTGAGATTAAAGTTAATTTCACATTAATAGAAATGGGCCTAATGGCCAATTTCTTTACTTCCAAATAAATTGCAGATAATTTTTATCTAGAGGTGAAGAAATTATCTGGAGGTGAAGAAATTAGGCATAAGTCTGTACTAGAATTATCCTTGGGTTTGCTCCTGGCCTCTTGCAGAATTCATCTTTCATCTTTTTCTTTTCATATTGCAGAGAAAAAGAGAAAGGGTGAATTCTGTAAGAAGAGCTAAAAAACATACCTCATCTAGCTTTTATCAAATTTTAAATGTGAAGCCTAAGACACAATATTAAAAAATACACCAATATAGGAACAGGGAGTAACAGACAACATTGAAAAAAATACCATAAATTTAAATATTCATTTGAATACTGGCAATTAAACATTTACTTACAGTAAATAAGTATTTATTTAATAAAAATAAATTATTATCAAATTAAATTAATGTTTTTTTTTTGTACTAAATAAATATATCTTTATATTTAATAAATATTTAGTTGCGCTATTCAAATAAATATTTATTTAAATTTATGATATTTTTTTTCAGTGAACCTATCAAGAAGTCTATATTCTGGAGTACATGGTTTCTAATAGGTTGAAATTTGTTGTAGTGTTGCCTGTACTTTTCAATTGTGCCTCAGAGGCTTCACTTTCAGTATGTACATGAGTTCATCTATAAAAAAAGCAGACATGTCTTTTGTTAGGCAGCCCCATGCTCGTCGTGAATGTGCAACATTATGGAACAGCAACCGTAAATAATAGGATCTAGAAGCGGTTTTGTCTTGCCGATGTTGACGAGAACGTTGCGGCACTCTACACGTTGTATCGCTTTCATTTCACTTTCGCATCCGGCTTGCGTATACAGTTGTACAACCTGCGTTTGTTTTCATTTTGCAGATTTGTGTGACAATCGTCATTGTTGCGCAACAGGATTTTGTCGCCGCTATTGATTCATCAACAATCCTTTCTCCATATAGTGTCGTATCGATTGTAGCGCTATATTATGCTACAGATTGTCTGGAAATTATTGCGTAATATTATTGCTCTAGAGGCGCACATCTCGAGAACGATTACGGCACTCTCTTCGGATTACGTCATTTTTCGCGCACGACATACGTAAGATCTTATCCCAATCGACGAACGTAGGACGACGGGAGAGGGATCGATAATTGCTATTTGCGGCAAGTCACGTGGTATACCGGTGTTTACACTCGTCTTCTGCAATCCTGTCGAGCTGACGTTACACAATCCTGTGCGTTAAAAGCAGGAACTGGAACCGACCGTAAATTTTCGGCGAATTCAGGTTCCGATACCCGACGGGCACGCAAGCATGACTCATCTATGTAATTTTCCGCAGACAGTGGAATCGCATCGTTGTGTTGACATAAAATCTCGTTTCTCCATATAATATTGGAAAATTTGCGTTAAATTTAACATATTGTATTTTATGTGTTTTAAAAGGTCCACTTAAATTTTATGTTTTTTTTTATTTAATTTAACACGAGAAAAATATTTTAGAAAGTAACATAAATATTATATGAAAAATTAACAAAAAATGTAAACAGGGACACATTTTATATAAGCAAACTATGGAAACATATTTTTTAATGTGAAATTAACATTTATAATATGTTAAATTAATACGTATCTTATTCATTCATTTTGGACTATTTTTAAAACGTAATTTATAAGATAAGAAATTATAAGATAAGATATAATAGTTATAACATATAAATTTTAAGATTAGAATGAATAAAATGTATTTATTTAACATATAAACGTTAAATTTATTGGAACATGTTAATATTATAAATGTTGATTTTTTAATGAAGAAATAAGATAAGTTATGTTTGTTATTAAGATAAGTTATGTTTGTTTTTTTACATAATACTTGTGAAACATCTAATATTCATTTTGTATTAAATTAACACAAAAATATAAGAATGAACCGTGTTTGAGATAAAATATGCTAAATTTAACATAAATTTTCCAACTGTCTATGCACATAATATTTTCCTCCTTAATAATAAATCCGGTAGAAAAAAACTGATTGTTTATCACTGACAAGGACATCTTTTGTTAATTTCGGTGGATTTGTGGGAAGACTGTTAAAAATAGACATTTATTCTTGTTACATGTGCTTTCACACGCGTTTTAGGAATTGGAAGAATTCTTCGAAATTAATTCAATACGTCCGATTTCGATGGAATGTTATCGAAATTATGCAATGTATAAAAAATGTTTTAAACAACAGTTTTGTGTAGCATTTTATACACTTTGTAATATTTTATCTACTTTAGATATTTTGTATTTACATTTTTCAAATGAGTCATATTTTATCGACCTCAACATCATTTTCATGATTATATATTTTTATCAAGATAAAAATGAAAAAAAGCTTTTTATTACAGAATCAATTATATATAATAATAATGCTCATATATTACTGAGAAAGAGACGGAAAGAAATGATTAAATGAGAAATTTTTCAAAAGAATAGATGCTATAATTAATCGCTTGCATTATTTACTCGCCAGCGTTTCAGGATAAATCATGCAATCCTTATACGCTTGCATCATGTAATTCATTTTTAAACACACGTCGATAGAGTGAAAAAAGGAAGGAGTAAAAGAGAAAGAGAAGGAAAAGGAGGGGGGGAGAGAGAGAGAGAGAGAGAGAGAGAGAGAGAGAGAGAGATTATATTGCGACACGCGCTAGCGTGCTAATGCATCATCGTGATTAGAGTTAGCTCGAGGAATCTTTCTGTGTCTTTGACCACAACGTAAACAATGCGGCAATGTGTATTTATATACGCGTCGTCTCGTCTCGTCTCGTCTCGCCTCGCCTTGGCACATACATCAACTCGGTGCAGCGCAATGTACACGGTGTCCCGTTATTATATCGCATTCAATCTTAATCGTCGAAAGGAAATTAGTGTTTGTCAGAAGTCTGTCGTTTTCTAATTTTGTAAAATTACTATCGTGAAATGTCAGTTTTAACTTTATTGAGTCTGAACATTAAAGTACAAGGAAAGGACAATTTCACTGAATCTAAAAAATTTAGCTAAATACTCCAAAAAGTTTTGACATTCTAGTAATAATTTTCAATATCTTACACAATTGTTTTGATGGTCTAACAAAATTATTTTCAAATCTGTATTTAGATAAATTTTTTTTTATAATAGAAAGTAGCATATACATTATGTAAAAGATTAACATATAAACGTAATAATGACACGATTTGTGAACAATCATTTTTTAATTATAATTAATTTTTATAATATGTATATTAAATTAACATACTTATATATAAATAACTTTAATATTTATATTTTGTGAAGTTAGTACATTTTATTCATTTATGTTTTAAAAAACATTTTATGCCATTTGTTCAATAACTTGTAAAAAGTATTATTTTAAGAAATGTTGAATATTTTAATTCAATACAAAATTTTAACATGGACTTGAGTGAACCGTTTCTAACACAAATATAAAATATTTTTTACTGTGTACTTCAGCATAACCATCTTTTCCACGAACTGGGAGAATATTCGTTTGATATATTGGGATCGTTTTCTTATTTTTACAATATTGTGGTATAAACTTGTTAGCAATCATATTGATTTCAATCTATGCCACGACAGGCGCGAAATGGTCGCAAGGTAATAGATAACGCGAATGTTACAGCGAATTCTCTGTGTTCGAGAACTTTCTCTATCCGAATGGTACGGAGTGTTAAAGCGGAATCATGTTATTCAAAGTTGTGGTTGAATTTCATATTTATTTCTCATTAAAGTCTTTTATGTCTTTCCTCTTCATTTAAATAAACTAACTATTTAAACAAAAAATAAAAGAAAAGTGTGGATATCCATGATTATAATAAATTATTTTAATATAATGTTGAAAGAGTTGCTTACGTACAGTAAAAAAAATTAATAACTGACTTCTAAATAAATATCAGACATTCAAATAAATGTGCTGTTTTTATAAAGTGGTGAATTTTATATAAATGCAATTAAAAAAAAATGAATTAATGAACTTTTAGTTAAACATATGTTTAACTAAAACTGGAATTAACTCATTTTTTTTTTAATTGGATTTATATCACTTTAAAAAAAACGGTTTAAATATTGAACGCACGTTACATCATTATCACTGAGGTAGTGAATTTTATATAATCGTAATGTAATTACGTCGATAATTGTAGTCATTAATTAAATATTTGTCGCGTAATTATGCTTCGTATAGGATTAACGCCGTATTTTCCGAAACAAGTTAATCTCTAGTTTTATTAATTCAGTAAGAGCTGTTTTGCGTTATTCAAAATATCTTTCTCGTTAAATTTTGCAAATAAATACGTCAAACTAGTTGTTTTTTTTCGCTATCTTTTTTTGGCTCAGTATTTCCCTAAAGAGAGTATTTTTGTTTTCTATTTATGAGAATGTTATTATAATAAAATAAATATTAAAGAAACCAGACAGACACACACAAACAAACACATATACAGCGAATTTACCTTTACACGTTTATTCCTTTCGCTGCAACGCTCTGACCGAAATATGAAACGCGTTCCTTACCGCGCTGGCCTATTGCATTCTTATGCTAATACCCTCAATGTATCCGAGAGTATCGAGTATCGCCGGCGCTTTAATTAAACGCCAGTGGTTGAATGTCATGGTATATTGCGTAACGCGTTCGCCTTGTAATAAGCGTTAAACTCATTGCGCGTCGTTTCGAGCAGTGCCGCTCTAATATGATTACATTTATATAATTGTGTTTAATTATTATTCGGTTATTATTATCACAAGTTATAAAATAGTTGTCTAGGTGTCGAGAAGCGGAGCTGTTTATAAATAATTATTGGTACATCAATAACTGTTGATAATTGACGAACCGTTAAAACTACCATCGCGTTACAACGGTTATCAGCAATTATCGGATATCTTTATCGGTAGCTCCATAGTGCAAACGTGTGGATATCCGATACACAGGGATCGGATATTGATACTATAAAGCATCGAACGATACTGACGAAGCTGCTTGCAAAATGATCGAAAGATTGCGACGGGCACTCTAATGATATCTGGCAGAGTTATTTAGTCCGATTACGTCGTCCTCTCTCTGTTCCTAATCATAGAGACGATCCCTTGTACTTGATTAAGATTCACGTGCTTATAAAGACGCAAAAGCAGTGTATTGAAACATTATCTCAACATATTTTATTATAACTAGATATGGTCAATTTTATTATAAACCTTAGAAATAATAAAAGATATCTATAATGATTTGAAAAAATTTTAAATTATCTATTTCTTTTCAGTACTTTCAATATCTGTTGTTTGAAACAAATTCTTATTTTTTTTTTCACGATCATATGAGTATAAAAATATAATTAAGAGGCCCAAATAATAATCAAATTGTTTTTAAAATTGTATATAAAAATGTTATAATTTTGCTTGAAATTTAAGCAAGAAGTATTAGAGAAATTTTTCTTCTTAAATAGACATTCTACTATTAGCATTAGAAGCAATAATGCGTAAATTTTTTTATGTATTATTTTCACGCAATATTTAATGAAGCGTGTTCTAACGATCGTGCTTTCTCTGTTACAGACCGCTCTCAGTATTTTCTTCCAAGAGGCGGCGATACCCTCCTGTGCGCAAGGAGCCGGCACCCACTTCGGCCAAGTGAGTCTTTGCATCATTCACTTCTAACGCGACTGACGAGAAAACCATGTAAAAGGAAGAGCCACGTAAATCGGTGCAGTCTGCGCAATCAATGAATATTTCGGTATCGACGAGTTCTCGATTTCTCGTTTCGCTTCACGCATACATCAAGATATATAGACAAATAAACTTGCGCTAAAGCTTGGACTCGTTGCGTGACAAACTATGTTTATAATATGAAATCAAGCAATACAGAAAAATATGATATCGTGTATTTTTGAGCCGTACGAATACAAGCATGATTGATTACGCTTGTAATATATTTTTATTTTTAATTCTTGTGATATATTCTGTATATCAATTTAAAGCAAAAACAGGACACGTATATAATATCATATTATTGCTATATCAATATTATTGTTATGTTAATGAGCATAAATGTCAATTCTTTCTTATGTACACAATGAACTGCCATATATTTTCCGAATTTCTATATATGTATTGTATATTAATAACACATTACCATAATTATACATATATTATTACATTTTCATAATTCACATTACATCACGCTAAGAAAATCAATACAAGAAGAATTAAAATTCATCGACATAGTATTCTGTAATACGTACTCATTTTTAAATCTTCCGAGAAACTCAGAAAAATTTTTTAATTTATATTATATGTATAATTCGTTAATATTCAATGAACGCGTTAATGTGACTGACATTGTATCTTCTTTACATATACAATATTGTTATGTATAATATTGTTAATCTCGAAACTACAAATTCCTAAGGACATGCTAAAGATCTATTTTTAATTTACAACGAGTCTTTAATTTTTCTTTTTATTGATATATAGTTTAAATTTAACATTATTAAATTAAATTAATTGCATCTACATCTAAAATCCACTCCAAGGTTCTCCAATGTAGGTTAACTTTAATCTGGGTTTAACTTACTTTTTATCTCTTTTTAGTTAAGCATTAGAAAAGAATAAAGAGTAAAGTAAACTAAAAATAAAGTGTATATTGATAAAAATGGATATAAGTCATTCAAATTCTACGAAGTGCCTTAGAGGTCAATTATTCATTCAAAAATTATTCTATAATACACATGTTATTACATATTACATCAAGAAGTACTCGTCCTTGACGAGTTGGTCAGTTTGCTTTTTTACTCTCCGGTTTTTTGAGATTTCATTCTAGCAAATAGACTAACAATCCCGGCGACCGCGTCTTCGGCCTGCGTAATGTGATATAACAGAATCGCGTTAAAGTGTCGAATCCAGTCAGCGAGTCGCATAGGCCGGTAGGTAGAGTGTGTTCCCGTCTTATTGATTATTCAAAAGTAGGTTCAGCGAGCGCAAGAGATCACCGTGCGGGGAACGGTGCGGACCCCGGAATAATACAACCGGGCGGCCAATTCACGAATCTTCTCGTCCTCATCCTCCTCGTCGAGTCGCGTTAATGTGCAACACACAGACAGGAAAATCGATTCTAGCGCGTGTCTGACCTTCACGAGGTTGACTATCATCCCTTCCGCGACAATTTACGCCGCTCTTTGATTAATTGCCCGTTCTCGCGAGCTTCTTTATCCCGCGTAATTTCGTAGTTGTGCAAAATGATCGTGCAGCGAAGACGAACTCGAAACACTCGGTCTGTTCTATTTCTATCTCCGGCCTTTTTTTCCGCAATCAAAAAGACACGGCTCGTGATACTCTTATGTGGTCTAGATAGATAGACTTCGATATGTGGCTTGACTTTTAGACGTACAATCCTATAGATATATTATAATTTATTCCGGTAACCCGATCAGATTTGCGTCAACTGCCATTTACTCTACTTTTCTACAAGATCCAATACCCTACATTCAGCCCTCATTAATACATATACAGAATACGTATTGTACGTAAATAAATAATTAGTTATTTCAAATAAATATTTCAAAAATACATATATCCACAAATCACTTTATTCAAAATCTATTCTGAATCTTAGTAAGTAATAATACTCCATTCAAGGCTATTAAATTAAAACGAATTCTATTTGCTTATTATGTAAAGTCTTAAACTTGTGTCACTTTTCCTGATTGAAGATTGATGTATTTAGAATAATTTCGACTTGTTTTCCTTGTGGAACTGTGATATAATGTTTGTCTTTTATAGAAATCCATAAATAACCCTTCGTGATTTTCAAGATATAAATAGCTAGTCCTGATCAATTAAATTAACTGGAATAAAAGTTTTAGACGATTACATATTTAAAGATAAATATCTGGCTAGATCTCTGAGAGATCCAATTTGTAGTTCTAAGGTTGACGCAATAATGCAATAACAATGAGAGTAATGGTACAATAATGTTCTATCTGGAAATTGCTTAAACGGTCATAATTGACAGGTCAGTAAATTCAGTCGAATAAGTAGTCGCGTTGAGAAAACCGGTTGCAAAGGCCGGTAAATGTCAAGACCAGCTTTTTCAATTAGCTCTGATATCTAATGAAAGCGAAGGTGATGCTCTAAAGACAAAAGACTAAAGAAAACTATTGGCGACTGTGCCACTAGCAGTAGTAAGCGTTTACTATTCTCGGTCGGCGACGGCACATTCCGATCAGTCGTGTGCCAAATTTCGTCCACAGGGCTGGATGTGTATCGTGAACGCACATTACTTCTCTTTTATTTCACGCATTTGCCCCACAATCGGTCGCATTATCTTCGTTTGCTGTAATTTGCATGTTGTTTTATCCAAGGACAAAAGTATTATTCTACCTAGTTACGCGCAGCATGTGCTGCGCACGTTATTTTAAAGATGTTTCATGACTGTACAATATCAGCTAAAAGTATCAATCAATCAGTCAAATTAAGCTAATTAGTCAATATTCAAAAAATTTTGATAATATTTTAGTTCTTTGAGATTACATAAATATGAAGATTTAGTCAAAAAAGATCAAAAAAAAGTTTGCAAAATAATTTATATTTTATTCTGACACATAAAATATGAATTATTTTTTATAGAATATTTAATTTTAGATTTTAGATAATTTTATTTAAATACTTTTTTTTACGTATACCGAACAAAATAAAATTAATTATTTAAAAGAATATATTGTGTTTTTATAAGTATAAAAACGTTTACGTAAAAAAATGTTAAATATGAAAAATGCGAATTTGTTTTTTTAATATGATAAAAAAATATTGAATTTGTTAAGAAAAGGTAGATTATTTTTGTTTTTGTGATTCCTTGTGCATATAAATCGAATGACTAAAGATAAAATGTAGGTACACTGAAAACCTAAATTTTTTAATCTTCTCGTAAAATAATCATTAGAACGAGTCAAAGTGTTTTCTTAGTAAAAAGTAAAAAAGCATTTAGTTTAGAGAATAAAAAGTATAAAACGGAAAGAGTAGTTCACATTTGTGAATAATACTTTGCAGTATTTTATTGTTTAAATTTAATTAAGTATAATCAGGGTCAGTGAAACGTTCAATAATCACTTAACTGAAATAATCTTATCGAGAACAATTATGTAGTTCATTCATGAGACACGTTTAAAATACAAAAGCAACAAGGTTTACTTTGTGAGAGAGCATCGTCAATAGCGGTTATTTAATAGCTGCTTATCAGTGGCGAATTATCACAGCTGGTCGTTGCTATGCTAATACACATGTCTCTGTATTGTTTGGTCACGTATCTGTGTACATACCTGACCGTCGTTACATGCAAGAGCCGAAGGTTCAACAACCTTGTTAGCTAATGGTCTTTCATGTCTGATAGATCTTATTTAATCTAGCCCTTCCAGTGAAAAATACACATATTTGCTGTACATCAATTTCTATTTTTTTCACTAACCTAAAATAAACCTACGCTTTTGAGATGTTATTGTAATTATAAAAACTAGAACGAAACTATTATTTTAGTAGGAAAAAACTGTGTAGAAAAACTCGCTATTTTCTTTTTAAAATTAAAAAAATCGAAAATTTTTATGAAAAATTTTTATCAAAATGTGATCTTTTCGAATATTTTATTTTTATTTTGTTAATATTAAATATATAATAATGCTAAATTAAAGACATATTTTCACATAAACCTTGATTGAGATTTTAGATTTTTGTATAAGTTTTTTATTTGGTTTTATAAAAAAACAAAAAAATTTAGTTCTTATTTAATTCCTATAAAATAAAGATAAAGGAAGAAATATATTCAGGAATAATTAATTAAAATTAATTAAAAGATTAAAGACTTTTTCATCGACGATTTAAAAAAATTTTAAAGAGATACCTATACAGCACAGAAGCTTGCAGCTATATTATTACAACTTTTACAATGTTACTGTAATATTGTTTCAATGTTGTTGCAAAGTTGCTAGAATGGTCTGTGCTATATAGCAAGTGTTTTTGTATTTCCAGATAACACCATGCAATACGCCAGCCACTCCGCCAAATTTCCCGGACGCGTTGCTGGCGTTTTCCAAAATGTCTGCAGGTGAAAAAACTCCGTCGGGTAAGTTATTAATTATGATAACATAAATTTAAACTAATTATTATAATAATTAAAAATGCCATATAAACTGTCTTCTAAACCTATTTAAATGAGTTGTAATTTGCGTAAAAATTCTCAGTATAGTATTCGTTTTATAATTTATACATGCACGCCGTTTATTTTAGTGAGCGTTATATGGTATGTATTCTGACACATGTATGTTTTCCACGTGTAATTCAATTTTTAAAATGTTTTTCATTTTACACACTGCATAAAATTATAAATAAAAATATTATGATATAATTAGTTTAACAAAGCTTTACACTGGCTCGTTATCGGCATTAAACATAGCATTTTTTGTTTATTTTGATAATATCTCTTTTGAAGATGTCATCGGTAAAATGTGAGAATAAATATATCGCTTGTTTGCTACGATATAATTAAAAAAAATAATTTTTTTAGTTTACAGAAAAAAAGCAGAAACATAATAAATATTTTAAGATCTTTTTATTCCTCTATAATTATAATTGTTAAATAAAATTACATTTCAAAAGTAACATTACAAAATTTTAATGATTGAAAATATTGAAACTCTTTCTGGAAAACTATGTTTTTTTTATTTGTGTCGTTATCATAAATGCGATATTAATGTTTATGTAATTAAAAAATTGCCATACCAATCTTCATGCAGTCGTAAAGCAAGTTGACAGTAGTCAAAGATTATTAAACGTATTGCAGGTATGTCTCCGAGCCAGAATGGATTTCAGGCGAATTCGACACCGATGGCGGGCATCGTGCAGCATCATACCGCCGGTGGCCGGTGTAGTGCATCCGGTAACACAACACAGCAACAGACGCAACCCCAACAAACGCAATTCGGCCTGGGCGAGCCACAGAGATAAAAATGACTGTGCTAATTGACGATGCGCAAGCACGAAACGTCACGTAGATGCGCGCGATAACGTTTCCGGAAAACAAAATATTGCGCTCTAAGCATGAAACGAAAAAGAGAGAGGGAAGTGAACAACGTATATACGGAAAAGAGGAAACTTCATGTTTTCTGAGAAAATGCATCCTTCCCGGAAGAGAATGAGAGAAATTCTCGAACGACATCGCAGCGACTACACGAAAGATATCTTCTACAGATCAGAACTGGATTGAATCGTTATTCACGCACAATAAGCAAAGCGTGCATTATGTTACGTGCGAATGCGCGAATAAGTCTGAGTGTTGATTTCCCCGACGATGCCCGAGAGAATATGACACGTATTTCAATTGCTAGATTTCCTTCTCGGCTTCCTCGAGAGATCTAGCGTAGGACGGTATGTTGAGTATAGTCCTCTATGTCTATGTATATAGCGACACAAAACGCGAGAGAGGGAGAAGGGACGAAAATCATATCAAAGAGCCTTCTTTTTTTCTCTGACACGTCGGGACCACCTCATAGGTCCAAAAAATGATCGAGGACATCGATAATTTGGAATAGTCGCACTATGAGAAATGGCTCCATCACTCCAATCTGACTTCCTTGTCTCCTTAGATACTATAGACACGTGACTGTTTCTCAAATTCACTGTACGTCACCGTTAGACTAGGCGATGGATTTCCACTATCACTTCCACACCACAGTACAAAAGAGTTTCGAGGTACAGTTTCCTCGGTTACTTGAAAACTTACTCTTTATCGCACATTTTCGCGGAAGATAATGACGGAAGATTGTACGGTATCTTTAATGTAGATGGAACGACATCGCTACTGCACGATGACTCCGCAGACATTTGTTTAATCATGGAACTCGAGTGTTTTATTACGATTCTTTCGCTGTTCTCTTAAAATAGTGATGCTTGCGGTACGCGTTACTTGCGTGCCGTTTCCATATACATAAGCGATATTTCGATGGTATAAATATACGAGGCTAAGTATAATAAACGAAGTTCTAACGTGTAAAAATTTGTAAAAAGAGTATCCCGAGTTATGTAACGTTCGTTTTACATAATAAATAACTATGTAAAAAGTAAGTAAAATAAAAAAAATCACAAGGAAGAGATCTCGCGAGTGATAAAAGTATAATAGTCTGAAGGATTGATTCAGGAATTAATGTAACCCGGTGAATACGAGCAGTGAGAAATTCTTGATTCGATTATTTCGACTATTCGCGAACTAGAGATTATTGCCTGGGTTTACGCAGCACTAGACTTCACGATGTTTACAAAAGAATGCTCTTATATGGCAGCTGGCAATACGATTCTGATATCATAGTATATCAATATTTGAATATATGGAACTCTGTATCTTTCATTATATTTCTCGTAACATACATGGACGATTATTCGTATTATAGATACATACTTGTTTTCATTAAGACTCTATTTATTCGATGTAGCAGCAAATTTAGTTCTTCATAGCTTTTTAGAAGCTTGTTTTTGGTTTGAGGTTCCCGTTCCTTCGCTGCAACCTTATTAAATTGTAACATCCGAAGTGAGAAATCATATACACTTTTTTCTTATACTATACATTCAAATCAATTAGTTATTTCATCTATTGGATATTGTAAATTCATCAAATATATAATATTGAAAATTTTTATCCATTATTATTTTTTAAACGCAATATTAATGTCTTCAAACGAAAATGAATATTGTAAAATATTATAATGTTTATTTCGTCATATTTTATTCGAAATTTGCAGTTCATTTCGTTATGAACTCTGAAAAGAACCTTATTTTATCAATCAATATCAGATATATAGAAAGAACTAATCTTTTTCCATGTATAATATAGAAAAAATATTGACATTTCTTGCTGCTGATGTAATATGGCTGTAGTGTGGAAATAGGATCTTTAACCTAAAATAACTAACAGAGAATTTTATTCTTTGTCTCTTGATATATTTGACAGCAAAGTGTCTTTACGGATGCAATACAGTGTATTCAATCCTTTTATTTGTAGTCATAATAGTAGCCTCGGTCATAATACAAATTTATAGTCCAAGCTTAATTTGATAATTTAACTTTCATGCAATAGTATCCAGGCATCGTATAACTTTGTTAATGGATTTATGTAAATAATAGCAGATATTTAGTCGTAAGAAAAAAAGGTACTTTGAAGTACGAGATATTTTTCTCAATAAGGTACACGCTTTAATATCTTCCTTAGTTTGTGTACTGTCTAGGCTGTATAATGATAAAAACTATCGACGAAGAATGAGAATGTTTTACTATGTTGAAATTATGATTATTGTTTATTTGACTATTATAAAGAGACAAATAATAGTCATGTACATAATTTTGAAAAATTAAATAAAATATTGATAATTATACTTTTTCTCTCTTCTCTTCTGCCTTATTATTATCTTGCGATCTAATTTCATTGGTATCTTTGTACTTTAGAAGTTTGAAAATGAACAGCCACTTTTATAATTATAAAATGACTACTATGTACATTTGCTTAGTGCATACGATGTATATACATGTATACGTTCTTACAAGCAACCATTAATTTCTGTACGAGAAGTAAAGCCCATTCTACAATGGGCAGTAGCAGTAGTGGATTAAGGAGTAGGCGTAGAAATCGACCAATGATAGTTAATTATCCTCCTCATATTCGACTGTGATTTCTACGTCTATTCCTTAATCCATTACTGCTACTACCCATTGTAGAATGGGCTTAAGAAGTATTGATTTATATATAATATAGCAATTAATAAGTTAGTTAACAAAAAAACAACAGGTAACTATCGATATCACTTTTCATCGATATTTTTCGATGTTATCGCGGTATAAAATATATAAATACATGATGAAAATACGACACGCTCGTATTTTTACCGACGCGCATAAAAAATCTACATCGATTACATAATTACCGCATGTCAAATTGCATTCGTATTTAAAATTTCTGAAAATTACGTTTATTGTGGTGGTATCTCAACGCTTCTACCTAAACCCGACCATCTATCCGGTACAGGTAGAAAGTAGCGATGCATCGCAGCTATAAATCTGTCGCGATATTCCTGCGGCGATATTATAGTCGGCAATTTACCTTGGCCACCCAATATACCGGATTTTTTCACCATCGTTTCCAGTTTTTTATCCCACGTGAACGTTCTTATGTAATCTATATGAAAAAGAAATTGAGAAAAATAACAAGTATAAAATCAGATGTTAATCGACAAAAATGCGATAATATATGCAGTCATTCTCACCTATTATACCGAGCACAAGTTCGTCGGAGCTCGGTTCCAAGCCTACCAATAACGAATAGTCCATTACGGAATTGTCAGCTAAGAACTTGGTGTCCTGTTCGATGGCTCGATTTAATACTGCCTTGGAATGCGATCGAATATATAGAGGAGAATCACAGCTCACTGAAATGCGGATCATTAATTTTACGAATTTATACGGAAAGAACGGTTTTACTAAAATATCTAAAAATTTAGCTGGCAACAGATCTACAGATAATTTTGTAGCGTCCGAACAAAATTATTTTTGGATCTGATTAAACTGATTATTAGAATGTTAGAACATTTTTGCAGCATTGTCATTAAGCACTCCACATAATTATTCGGATATCCAATGAAATTATTTTCAGATCGATATCTAGCTAAAGTTTTAGATACTTGAGTAAAATTGTTCTTTCCATGTATTCGTAATCGTTTGGAAAGAGTACATACTATTCAACAAATTCTCGTCCAATAAAACCAGTTCACCCTCGTGGCATGTATCGTCCGGATTCGCCAGCCGATTCCGCACAGATCCCTTTAAATCGAACTTATCAGTGATGATTCGATTATAAAAGAGATTCTCCATTACTAACACACTAGTACGAAGCGCCGCGTTGGTTGTGTTGTTTTTAAACGACACTCTGTACACACCAACTATCTTGCCTAGCAATGTTGGTTGCTTGGTTTGCTGACATCTTTCCATATAGGCGAAATAGTTGGGTGCGAAGTCGAGGAAGATCTGCATATCGAGCCGAGACATCTCCTTTATGATGAATCTATCATCTGCAAAAGAAAATATATCTAGTGTGCTATAATCGAAATGATAAAAAATTAAAGACCGTCAAAGATTCTTGCAAAATATGTTTTTTTTTATTTTATAGCAAATTATAGTGAATGCACGTTTAAACGTAGCTAATTAAAGTGTGTAGTTTATCTTTAATATCATTTTGACGTCAAAGATGAACCATGATTGGATAAACGCATAAAACTTATCGCATACATTTTTTTTGTTACCGTAAGATTATAAATTATATAATAAATAATCAAAGCACACAACATACCTCTGCTTTTACAGAAGGCACTGCCGCTCTTTCCGCCTCTGGCTGCCCACTGCACGGTTCGACTTAGACTTCTCGTGAAGCCGTCCTCACCGCAGGGCAAAACATTTTCTCTCAGCGCAGAGAATTGCGCAGCAAAGTAGATTCTACAGAAGAAATTGGTTGTGGCATCGTTAAATTGTACTTCGATGTAATTCTGCTGCTTGCTCGCTTTCTTGTCATCATCAACGTCAGGACCGATTATGCTACTACCGCTCGTTTCCACGTTTGACACATTCTTGTCTGATTCAATAGGACTGCTGGCTGCATTGGGACTGTTGCCTCGAAAGAAAGACAGCACAGACGGCCGCTTGAACTCGCTTAATTGCGCCAGGTCTTGGGAGCTGTCCTTACCCTCGGGAAATTTGCGTTTGCTCAACGGACTAGGGTTCGATTCTGGTCCTTTCGTTGTACGTAAGAGCTCCTGCAATGCGTGCTTGTAGTCATGTGAGTCCAAAGCATACGCGATTATTGATGAAAGCTCGGATTCATAGACTACTATGGGTACCACGGACCTGCAACAAAATTTGAACTATTTTATATGTATACAAAAATTATACATAATTACACATGTGTATATATATAATAGTTACGTAATAATAGTATATTATATATAT